GTACTGGCTGAGCTACCTGAGGAGGAGTTTTAGAAACTTCTGGGTTTGTGTTTGGCTGTGAACATCCCCCTCCCTTTCCTGACAAAGCCCCTGAGAATCCTGGAAAGAGTCTGGAGCAAGGAGCAGGCTCTGCATTCCTCCATCACTTGCAGAACGCTTTGCAGAATTTGCAGCAGCAGATTAACACTGCCAGAGCCACAAATCAAAGGATTTCCAGTTCCACCCCGCTCCCACCTATCATGCGGGGGGAGAAAAAAAAAATCTCCGTCTCCTCAGACAAGAGGAAAAAAAAAGAGATGGAATTAGGGTTTAAAATCATTTAGGTTTGCATTTCATTCCGTTTGGCGCTGTCAGTGATACACAGCGCCTACAGAAGAATTAGAAAGATTATTGTGGAATAGGAGGCAGAGCCACAGCGTGTTTGACAATACGCTCTGTATTTTACCTTCATTAGGACAGGGAGCTTGAAATACTCATTTCTTTATGATGAAGGAACTAAAGATTTCCAACGAGCGCAGAGCAGGGAGCGGGCAGGGGAGATTTATTGCTAAAGCAGCTTCTTAATCACAGCAAGCACCTGAACTCGGTTGTGGAGATGCTTCTCCCCCAGGGCACCCCTGCAGCGAGCTGGGGAAGGGGCACCCTGCAGGTGGAATTCAGCCAGCCCTGAGGACACTCAGTGCAGAGATTTTGGGAAGCCCCAGTCAGAGCCCTGGTAGAGGCCCCTTTGGATGCCCACCCCTCCAGAGGGGACAGCTGTGTCACCACGGGCCCAGCTGCACTTGGGAGCTCTGGGCAAGTGCGGACACTCCTTCGTTAGGGGCCAGTAATTAACTCCTCACCTCCTCTGAGCCCAGCCCGGGGTTGGAGGGGCAACCTGGCCCTGAGCACCCCTGGCAGGCTCCAGAGTGACTGTCCTGCCTCAGGCACTCTGCAGCAGCTGGAGGGGCCCTGCTGGGCCAGGGCAGCACAGCTGGATGGGGACAGCACAGCTGGATGGGGGACAGCACAGCTGGATCAGGATGAGCACAGCTGGATCAGGATGAGCACAGATGGATGGGGCAGCACAGCTGGATCAGGGTCAGCACAGCTGGATGGGTCAGCACAGCTGGATCGGGGGTCAGCACAGCTGGATCAGGGTCAGCACAGCTGGATTGTGTCAGCACAGCTGGATGGGGTCAGCAGCTGGGTGGGGAGCGCTTCCCAAAGCCGTGGATGGATTCCCAGTCCCCTGGCCTGGTCTGGCAAAGCTCAGCTCCCTGCCCTCAGCCCCTGTGCCCCGCTCTGCCGGTGGCCCTGGGCTCACGGGACACTCTGGGGACACTTTGGGACACAGCTGTGCTCCAGAGTGGCACCAGAGGCCGCAGGGGCTGCCAGCTCCTCAGGTGGCCTCTCCTTGGCCACTTGGCTTGGCTTGTGACCGAGGAGGGAACCTCTCCCTGCTCCTGGCAGGGCATGTGCAGCCCTGGAGGGGGAAACACAAGGATGCAGCAGAGTATTTATTTAAAAAAGAGGTGGGAGTGGTGTGCAGAGCTCGGGTCACGCTGAGGAGCCAAGGAAGGAGAGCAGAAGGTGACCCTGTCACTCCTGCTATGGGCCAGCCTGGCCGATGTTTCCATGTTGTGTTTGATTTTTTAACATCGCTAAATATTTCTGGGTTTTTTCCAGGGTTATTTTTGTGCTCTCCTCTGTACGATCCCCTTTCTTTCAGCTCTTAGCTGTGGGAAGATGATTAAAAATGGCACATTGTCTGCACCTGGAATTCCTGACACAGCCCCGGCACAGGCAATTGTGTTTCTGACAGTAACAAGACACTCTGGAACTCGGGATCCGGGGACTTTCTGTTCTCCTGCCCTTGCACTTAATGAAACCAGAGTTTGTTTTAGCAAGAAAAAGCCAGAGTTAATTTCAGCTCAGCTCAAACCAGGAGATCCAGAGGCAGGAGCCGGAGCTCGGAGTTATGGGAAAATCCGAGGAGAGGAAGGGATAAGGAGCGCTAGGAAAAGAAAAATCCTTTTTATTTCCCAAGAAGACATGATGAACAGGAGAGAGAGAGAGAAAAATCACTTGACAAGGCTCTTCTAAAGAGGAAGAATAGTGCAAAGTGCTGGTTAAATTCCCATTGATCCTTCACTCAGCTTCCCATATACATGTGGGTTTGACTACTTGATACTTCCTTTCACTGTCATAAGTAATAACCGAGGGGAAACAATCATTTCTAAATAACTGCCTATGATTCTTCTATTGTAGTGATTAGTGCTGAATAATTATTAGCTGTGCTGGCTTTCTGCGGGGCTGGGTGGCAGCGGGAGCTGCCGGCGCCTATAGACGGTGCCTATAGATGGTGCTCTTGGCCTCGCACAGCCGCGACCGCCGCTCTCCCGTGTCCCAAACCCCCGGCAATGGGGGGAAAAAGGCTCTTTTCCCCTCTCTGTTTCCCTGCCGGGGCTGTCCGCGAAGCGCTGGCTCTGTTTTATTGCCCTGCCGAGGCTGATTTGGGTCCTGGCAGGGAGGAAGAGCCCGAGGCGGGGTCTCAAGCCGCTCGTCCCGCACTCGCAGGAGCGGGCAGGGCTGGAAGGCTCCATCGCACAGGTCCGTGACCCCCACGCCCCGAGGCAAAGGCGGTTATCAAAGATACTGACAAAGAAATCTGTGATCCGCGGGCTCCGAGCAGAGCCTGGGCTTTCCCCGCTGCTCCCCAGCCCAGCAGCGCTGGAATAATTAGCTGGAAACAGCCAGGAGCTCACTGACCATCAATAAACAATAAACAGGGGGCACGATGCAGACACGGGCCTGCAAAGAGGAGAGGAAGGGCTGCTGAGGCACCCTGGAAGGCTCTGCATCGCTGGGATGTGCATTTCCCCCTGGATGGGTTTTGCAGTGGAGTTTGTGGGGTTTTGCACAGGGGTTTGTGGGGTTTTGCACTGGGTTTGTGGGGTTTTGCAGTGGGATTTTGCACTGGGGTTTTGCACTGGGGTTTGTGGGGTTTTGCACTGGATTTGTGGGGTTTTGCACTGGGTTTGTGGGGTTTTGCAATGGGTTTGTGGGGTTTTGCATTGGGGTTTGTGGGGTTTTGCACTGGGGTTTTGCACTGGGGTTTGTGGGGTTTTGCATTGGGGTTTGTGGGGTTTTGCACTGGGTTTGTGGGGTTTTGAATTGGGGTTTGTGGGGTTTTGCATTGGGGTTTTGCACTGGGTTTGTGGGGTTTTGCACTGGGTTTGTGAGGTTTTGCACTGGGTTTGTGGGGTTTGGTTCCATTTTTGGGAACGTGCAGCACAGCAGCTGTACTGGGAACAGAGTGGGAGAGAGAAGAGCTTGCTCAGGACCCAGTGCTGCCATCCACTGAGTGCCTTCTGCTGCCTCTCCCCAGCTCAGCAGCTGCAGCCTGGGGACCTCTCCAGGCTGCCAAAGTCCCCAGCTCTGGAGCTGCAGCGAGGTCGAGGGGACCCTTTCTGTGGGGATGGGCTGTGCTGTGCAGGGGCTCTGCCCGTGCTCCCTGAGGGTCTGCAGGGGCTGCTGAGAGGATGGAGACGCTGCTGGGATGGGGAGAGCACTGAGCAACCAGCCAACCTGTGGCTTTCTGCCTGGGGAAGGGTGGCACCTGCATCTGCACAGTGGGATGCAAGGCACTCCCTGCTGGACTTCCCTTTAGGGGCTCCTGAATCCTCTGCAGGGGGCAAACAGCAAAACCAACCACAACGGGGTCCCTTTCCACCCAAAACTGCTCCTGCAGGGCCTTGCTAAATGCACCAGGCAGGGGAGATGCAGCGAGTCCACTGCTGTGGCCATGGTGACAGCAGCGAGGGTGACACAGGCTGGGCTGGAGGGGAACTGTAAGAGGCCATGGGGTTGGTTTAGTCGCTCAGGTTTGTTGCGGAGGAGGCCCACGATGATGGCTCTGATTTTCTCTTGCAGCTGTCCCAATGTGTAATAGAAAAATGGTTTAAAAATTCCCGATGACAAGATCTGGCAAGCAGCAATCCATCATGGTATTGATCCCCCTCCACCAGTTGCGCTGCTCGGAATCATTCCCATGCCCCTGGCTGGGTCAGGGTCAGCTGGACCGGGGTGCTCCTGCCTTTCAGGAGCACAAGATCCTGCTGTGCCACTGGGACTGCCTTCTCCTGCCTGACCCCAGGTGTTCCCAAACCCCTGTGCTGCTGCAGGTGACCAGTGGGATATGGGGTGTTGGAAGATGCTCCTCCCTTTGGGTCCCCTGCAGCTTCCAGGTGTTTCTAAGGCGGCAGGAAAGGCCAGGTCGTGGCTCTGTGGCTGAACCACTCAAGGCCAAGGAGGGCTTCTCTGGTTCCCAGCAGTGGGTGGTCACAGTGTGCCCTGTCCCAGCTGGCCATGCCACCGTGGCTGGGTTCTGGCAGCTTTTGGCAGGAGCTGTGGAGCTCAGTGGTGTCAGGGGCCTTGCACCACATGCCCAGCTCTAGCTCTGCTGGAGGTGACCCGGCCTCTGCAGAAAACCAGGCTGCCAGCCCTTCCAGAGATGGGGAAACTGAGGAACGGAGCGCTCAGGTGCCGCTGCTGCCGCCAGACCTGGAGCCGAGGGGCGCGCAGGGGCTCAGAGCCGGGGGCACAACCCGACAGCCCCGTCCCGCTGCCTGCAGCCCCCCCGAGCTGGGACAGCTGCGGGGGCAGCTGCGGGGCTTTCTGGAGCACAGCTGTGCCGGGGCCGGAGGCGCAGCCCGGCGCGGGGAGCTGCCCCGGCCGAGCGGGGCTTTGTTCCAGCGCGGAGCCGCTCCCCCGGCACCGGCTCGGCCGCGCTCCGCGGGACAGGGGGGGCGCAGGTGAGGTGGGGAGGGGGTGCCGAGCCCCGCTGCCGGCGCCCAGGCTGCGGAAGGGTTAACGCGGGAGCGGGGGCGGCGCG